GAGTATAACTACTAATGAGCTCCAGCTATCCTGGGGGAAACTTCAGAGGGAACCAGCTACTAGATGGTTCGATTAGTCTTTCGCCCCTATACCCAAGTCAGACGATCGATTTGCACGTCAGAACCGCTTCGGACTTCCACCAGAGTTTCCTCTGGCTTCGTCCTGCTCAGGAATAGTTCACCATCTTTCGGGTCTCACCGCGTACGCTCTTCCTCCACCCTACTGTAAACAGTTAGAATGGGGCCATGCTGCCCTTTTTTACAAGATCGCACGTCACTTTCGTTCTTGATTAATGAAGACATTCTTGGCAAATGCTTTCGCTGTAGTTTGTCCGGCCACGGTCCAAGAATTTCACCTCTCACGGGGCCATACAAATGCCCCCGTTTGTCTCTGTTAACCATTATCTCAGTCCGTAAAACCAATAAAACTGAACCGAAATCGTTTTCTATTATTCCATGCACAATCATTCAAGCGAAAACGCCTGTTTGAAGCACTCTGATTTGTTCAAAGTAAACTTGCAATGACTGTTAAAAATCCTGTTAAGGACTCAAAACCGAACATTACGATAAATCGATAACACCCAGAAACACCCGAAGGGTTCCAAGGTACCGATACGAATCCAACTACGAGCTTTTTAACCGCAGCAATAATTCTATGTATTAGCAGAGCTGGAATTACCGCGGCTGCTGGCACCAGACTTGCCCTCTGCTTGATACTCGTTAAAGGGTTTAAATTGTACCCATTCCGATGACCGGCCTCAAAGAGAACAGTCTCGTTATTTCTCGTCACTACCTCCTCGAGCCGAGAGTGGGTAATTTGCGCGCCTGCTGCCATCCTTAGACGTAGTGGCCATTTCTCAGGCCCCTTCTCCGGAGTCGAACCCTGATCCTCCGTTATCCGTCACCACCACGGGAGTCGATTATGCTCCCGTCAAGTTGATAAAGTGGACGCTTGAAAGACACGCCGCCGGCACAAGGCCATGCGGTCAGCTTAGTTATTCTGAGTCAACAAGAAGCAGCCGAAGCCGCGTGGTTTTGTTCTAATAAATGCGCTTTTCCGAGAGGACAAAGCTCTGGTGCATGTATTAGCTCTAGCTTTTCCACAGTTATCCATTTAGATAATCAAGATCAAGTAAATCATGGCCATTGTAATGAGCCGTTCGCGGTTTCTCGTTAAAACGATTAAACTTATACATGCATGGCTTAATCTTTGAAATGAACACATCAGTTCAGGCAGGATCAACCAGATATCTTTTATTTAGGTAGTTAGCAGAGCTGGAATTACCCAGTCTGCGGGTAATTAAGCTGTCATTAATATTGATTATATTGATAATTTTAGAATAAAATCTCGAAAATAATCTGAAATTAAAAAATTAATGACAGCTTATTATATATTTAATTTCCTTTGCAAAAGATATCTAAATTATTTACAATTTATCAGCGGCACTTTCACAAAAGTTATCAATGGCAATTCCTGACAATTGTCTGGAGCCAAATAAATATTGCAGCTGGAGAAAAATTAGGATTATAAAGCTTATGATTATTATCAGATTTAGAATAAAGCTGCTTTAAAATATCTGATAATAAAGCTTAAAATAATAATAACATTAAATTTTTTAAAAAAATAAAGCTTATAATAATAAACTTTAAATTTAAAAAAAGATTAAAGTTTATTATTATAAGCTTTATTTTTTTTGAAAAATTTAATTCTTCAAAAAAATTTTTTTAATCCTAATTTTTCTCCCACACATTTTTATAATTGCCCGTTTTCTCTTTGCCTTAAACCATTCCCGCGAACAGCGAACAACAAATAGCCCCGCCCACTTTGCCTTAGAGAATTTTTTCTTAAATATTGAGAAATTGAAAACACAGTGATTACGACCATACCGCGTTGAAAGCACGCCATCCCGTCCGATCTGGCAAGTTAAGCAACGCTGGGCTTCCTTAGTACTTGGAACGGAGACGTCCTGGGAATCGGGGGTGTCGTAATCTTTTTTTAATGCTTTGGCAAAAATTTGAGTCTAAGAATACACACTTGAGTCTATAGAAAAAATTATTTAAGTTTTTTATAAATTGTAGTTTATCATGTACATACCTTTTACTTGAGTATAATTGAGTAGATAATGATTGCCTGGGGGAACCCTATATTATATACATACCTTTTACTTGAGTATAATTGAGTAAATGATTTTATACTTGAGTAAATGATTTTTACTTGAGTATACTTGAGTAGATAATTATTGCCTGGGGGAACCCTATTACCCTACGACACTTGGTCAATTGCACTTTGGTCTACTTTGCCTGAGGCAATTTTTAATCGGATCGTCACAGACTCATAAACCAAAAATGCCTGGTGAAATTTGATTGCCTGGGGGAACCCTATTACCCTACGACACCCTACGACACTTGGTCAATTGCACTTTGGTCTACTTTGCCTGAGGCAATTTTTAATCGGATCGTCACAGACTCATAAACCAAAAATGCCTGGTGAAATTTGATTG